GACAGAAAGCCAGGCAGCGACTCATGTGCATCTTGGCTAAGCCTTTGGGTTTGGCGGTGCGGGTGGTGGGAGTGGGGACCTGGGCTGGGATTTGCCACCATCTGCTTCCTCCTCTGGGCTCGGTGAGGGGCCTGATGGCGCCAGTCCCCAGGAACTTCCAGCTCCTTCTATGGGGCCGGGGTTGGGGGGTGGATGAGGGAAGGGAGACTTGTGGGAGCTGGTTCAAGAAGTAGCCACCCGAGCCTAGAATTCCAAGAGCCAAGAACCCCTAGCCAGGTTCCTGAAAAGTATACCTGTGCGAAGGTGACTGGGTGTTTTAGAAGGAGAAACCAGGACAAAAGGCAGAGCCGTTAGAGAGGGGCGGTGGAGGGGGGAGCCCCAAAACACCAGCTTCCACCTCTACTTGCTGTGTCCCTGAGTTCACTGCTAGCAGGTCTTTCTGATTTGGCTCAACATGTGCACTCATACTGCACTCTCCACATATATGTGTACACATATACACAGTGCATAAGGTATGTGTACACTTGCACACACACAAACACATAGTGCTCGTACACAATACCACACTATATAGAACACACACAAACACACATATGCACACACATACCTGCACACCCACACATCCATACACACAACACAAATATATGTGCACATCTGCACACACAGTGCACACCTGCAAACACACCCACAAAACACACACATGAAAAACACACACATACCTGTACATTCACACGTGTATGTGTACACCAGCACACACAAACACACAGAGCACACCTCCACAAATGTGCACACACTCACATACATGTGTACACACTATGCACACACTAATACACTACCCAAAGGCCAAGTGGTTTTTTGCTTTAGGAAAATGAGGCCAACCCATCATGTGAGTCTGTGCCAGCCCCCCACAGGGCCCTGTGCACACCCACTGGTGTGCCCATGTGGCCAGCAGGCCCAACTGCTCACACAGCTGGTGACTGGGTGTGCTGCCAAAAGAGGGGGGATCCCAGGTCAGTTGCGCCCACGGTGCTCCCGCTCAACCTCCTGCCCAGGTCCAGGCCCTGCCCACCCCCTGCCCGGTGGCCCCGTCCCATTCATGGTAGGAGGAGCTAATCAGGGGCTTCTCTGCACGATTTTATGAAGTGACATCATGGGTCTGAGTCATTGATTCCACATGGCTGAGCCCCCCTGAAGCCCCACGGTTGCAACAGGAAGTGGGGACAGCCAAGGCACAGGCCAGGGCAGAGTCCAGGGACACGGCTGGCTTCTAAGAGGAGGTCTCCCGCATGCTGAGGGGTCCCGATCCATGGGCCCCACTAGGCCTCGCACCCCACCCCTCACCATCCCTTGGCAAGGCAGTGCTTGAGTGGGCCATGGGGTAGGTGTGAGGGCAGGACCACCTAAGTCCTGTTCTGTGCAGGGCAGGCAAGAGAGGTCTCCACCCTGTGACTGTGCAAAGTCAACCCTTCCCGGCTGGGAGGAGGGGTGCAGGAGGCAGGTGCAGGCGAGCCCCCAGGGCAGGCTGTCCCCACGGCAGCCCCTCCTCGGCTAGTCCCTGGGACCCTGGGCAGGGCTGGCTTCCCACCCAGGGCCACTGTCTGGTTACAGTAGAGTGCCCATTCAGGGGCTTCTGTGTCTTAAAGAGGCCGTCGACCCAGTCACAGGCTGTGAGCCAGGGTTCCATGGGGACCCAGAGGTATTCTCTATAACCAATGAATTTCTTAACCTTGGAACGGGGCTGCCAACACAAAGCCCAGTCACTTTGGAGGTGTGTCAACAACCCCCAGGCCTGATGTCCCTTCAGTTGCCAGACCCCCAGGCGTGGGGAGCTCTGCACGGTGCCCTGCTGGGGGTCTGCCTATTTGCCCTAGAGCCCCCCACGCGTAACTCTCACCTCCCCGGAAGCTCTCCATGGTTCTCCAGCTGCCTGCTGCTCTGAGCTCATTTCCTTACAGACGTCACATGGCCCCCCTAGGGCACAGCGGGAATGTCACTCCTTTCTAGGGCACCCCCAGCTGTGTGCTCCTCTGGGCAGCGTCAAGGTCCCCATCTGCCTTCGAATCCCCAAGCCCAGTACTCAGCCCACAGATGCTGGAAGGTTCTTGCTGAACTGGGCAGGGATAAGAATACTCCTTACTCCTCAAGGGGGTCTGGGGACCAGGAGACACCCTGCCCCCTTTCACCCCCCTCCCCCCGCTCGCCAATCCCTAAAATGGTGCGCCATCTTCCTGTCCAAGCCTGCTCTCCTTCTTGCTCCTCCAAGGCCCCTGGCAGGCAGTGGTACCACCTGCCTCCCGATGGCTGGCGTCTGCCTCTCCTGCAGCCACTGTCCTGCCTGACTGGCTGCTCTGCCTGACCCCGAAACCCTGTCCTTTGCTTGTAGGGGGTGCTGCCTGCAGGAGACCAGGGACCAGCCGGGCTGCCTCCTCCAGGGTGTTGCTGGTGGTGCCAGCCCTCAGCATGTGCCTCGGGGGTTTCCAGTCGAGTTATCCCACCCATCGGCACCCACCAGAGAAACTGCTGGACATGGGGCTGTGGCGTCTCCACTTCACACCGAATGCCAGGCTGTTTGACAAAGGCCATTCTCCTTTGCTCCCCCAGCAGGGAGGGAGGGCTGCGTCCGGATTTTTGGGCCTTGCCAACCTGGAGAGTACTCACAGTGGGGGTATTTCCTATCCCCTTTTATAATAAAGTCAAACATCTTTTCATGTGTGCATGGGCTATTTGGATTTTCTCGGGTGACACTGGGGAGGGACATTCCAGGGGCTCCTGCGGCCCCATGGGGCTCTATTTCTTGACCGCACTGTACAGTCAGTTACTGTAAGTGGCCAACTCCTGTGTCTCCTGAGGTCTGCTGGTGTCCTGGGTCTGGTGGCCGCTGTCCTTCCCTGGGGCGGCCCATGTCCTTGCTGTCCTGGCTCTCCAGGCTCCTTCAGCAAGCCTGCCCAGGTGACACTCAGCCTGGCTCCTCCCTCACCTTGTACAAGATGGCTCTCCGGATGCCACCTGACTAGGTATCGCTGTGGCAGGCAGTGTCACATGTCCCTGATTTAAGACCTGCAACAGCGACCAAGCTGAGTGTGTGTGGCGTGCAGCCTGGACCTGGTGTGTTCCAGGGACGGGTGAGGCCTGCTCTAGGCCCGTCCTCCTGCTCTGTGGGACACACCTGGAGGCAGCACCTGTCTCTTCAGAGGGGCGAGGAGT